CTACAATACTACAGCGAGAATAAAAGTTACGTCTTCTTTCTTTGCGTGAACATTTGGGCGTTGTTATGCAAATCTTCCCACATAGTGATGTAGATATGTGGGGGCGTGTTAGAACGAGCCGTTTTAGGTAGGTGTGGTTGACTCTTAACTTTTATAAAGAATATCTCTTTGGATTTGAAACTTTAGTCTTTGCAACTTTACAGATCTTCTTTATGCACCAAGAGCTTGTAACACTCCAAAGAGAAAGGAAAAATTTAAATCGCATCATATGACCCCTTTAAAATAGCAGGGACGGTTACAATGCGGTACCAACCTTGGCCACCACTATCAGTATGCATGAAATTTAATGCTTAAATCGCTTTAAACCTTGAAGAATACATTTACCCGAAGGATAACAGAATAATATATCAGAACATAACTTTTCATTTAAATACACAAAAAAACAATATATAAGTGGTTGCAGTGAACTCTTTTGACTGCACCTCACAAGCTCAACTTCTTGTATGTCTTCTCACCAGAAGCAGTACATTCAAGATCTTTTTCAAAATGTTAATTTGTTTAGACCTGATAAACAAGTTTTGTGCATTACTAGATCGGTTTTCATTTTGCGCTAAATTAACAAATTAATAAATTACTTTTGTTATATTTCTATTGTAAATCAATGTTTTAAAATTTTACAGAAGTAGAATTGTTAAAAAGCAAAGATAAATAAGGTTTACATATAGTTATTTTAGCCATAGATAAAAGCCTTCAGTGGGGATGTGGTGAACAAACAATGCTATTAAAAGACATTTTCTTTTGAAGCACTCCTGATTGTATATTGCAAGGTCAATAATTATAAAATTGGCACATCAGTAAAAACCAATACATATCTGAATAAAAGTGGCAGGCTTCTAATCATTTTCAACCTCAATTTCACTCATTTGAGCCATATAGCTGCTACTAGTACTACTATTAATGCTAATATTTTTCCAACATTACTGTACAAGCCATTGGTTATTTGTTTAAAGGTTAATTTTCTCTGGACATGTGTGTACATTGAACGAGTGTAGTACTTTCCTTCATTTCTCTCCACCATTTTATCTATCTTTTCCAGTAGTTCTGTGACCTGAGACGGATTCTCTCTGTTGTCATTTTCTAATGAATGATATTTGCCAGCACAACTGATAACAAACTGTCGCAGATCTTCATTCTCCTCTATATGATCCTTTAGTGTTTTATTCTTCAGATAATCAGCATGAGTGAAGAGAGTGAAGACGTAGCGTGACGCTTCTTCTCCAAAGTTGTGCTGAACCCATTTGACTGCGTTCTTCTCTTCATCTGTGTACCTCTGATCCAGTCTGATGACCAGCAGGAACACATGAGGACCAGGAGCAGACATCTTCAGACACTTCTCTATTTCAGCCTTCAGATTTTCTTCAGTCATCTGTTTGCCAGGTTTCTTATCCTTCTTTTCACCGATCAATGTGTCAAACAGCCCTGGAGTGTCAATTACGGTGACAGCCCTTGAACCTATTCTTGTGTTTTTTATCTCACAATCTTGAGTAACTGATTCTGGATTGAAGTCCTCAAAAAATGCATTTCTGCCCAGGATTGTGTTTCCTGTTGCACTCTTTCCTGATCCAGTTTTACCCAGCAGCACAATCCTCAGATTTCCTGAAGTAAGAGAGACTTGTTTTATGAAATAGTATATTTTAGCATGCAGTCTGCAACTGCACGGTTGTGCCTTAAATTGAAATATCTATATAAATGTACATTTTGTAATTGGAATGAAATCAATGTATCTACAATTGTCTTAAGTACATCACTTGTGTCATAGCAGGTGCTATCTCTTTAATTTTAATAATATTAATTCAATTGGTTGCATCTACAAATATAACTTACTGTGTATGTATAGGGTCAGGTAACAGGTAAAATGTTTCAGGTAACAAAAGTTATTATTCAATACCCAAATGGCAAATTTCCACAAGTGGGAATTTGAAGAAACATAACAAAACAACCGACTAACCAACCAACCAACCCTATTTGTGACAGTGAAATTATTATTATTATTATTATTATTATTTTGATTCAATATACTGCTTAATGTTACATAATCCTTCAATAAATTTATGTCCGCTTCCTACACTGTTACATATATTAAAAGCATAATTATAACAATTTTATTTGTTTTATGTATTTAAGTAGGTTTAAATAATTTTTCTTGTATCACCCAAGAACTGAAAAATTAAGTGAAAAATTATTTTAGCAGTACAATATCTTTCCATTTAGCTGTTATGCTAGCATTTTGTTATTTGCAGATAAAACAATTACCTGTAATAGTTGCCATTTCTGCACAAAGCCTTGTAATGTTGAATAGTCAGCTCTAGAATCTCTTCACTAATTTTCAGTGCTCTCTCTTTCTCTTTCTCACAGTGACTCTCAGCACTCTGGTTACCTCCTTTTACATGTGATTACATGACTGAAGTTGCAAATCTGCTTTAACACTGATGCATATTGATATTTGTCATCCAATGGAGACCTCTGTTGGTTATATACCAGTAATGCATGTGCCTTTGTGTGCACTCACTACAACTGTTTGAATGAATGTACATTTGTTTGAATATGGGTTATTCTATAATTACGGGTATATTTGCCGTTTAACTATGGCTGTCACAGTATCAGATTTTTCACTACTATTATCGTGGCCAAAAGAACTCACGATAACGATATGTCACAATATCTAGAGAAATTTTGAATGTTTTATTTTTTATTTTCATAGAACACACTTTAAGTTAAACATTTTCTATATTTTCTGATCTTGTAAAATTTAAAATACACTGAGACCCAAAGTGATTTAAGAGTTCCCTTAAATTTTTTTGAGCAATGAATGAAATATTCCATTTGAAAATCTTTATTTATATACATTCTGTATCACAAAATGATGTGACAGAAGTCAATGGAAACCAAAATCATCAACACAGGATGCAAAATCACACCAAAAATCTATGTAAAAACTGAAGTTACAGACTGAAGTTACAACTTAGATTATGAATTGCTTTGATGAACTTCATGCAAGTCAGTAGTGTTCATGGCCCCCACATGCCTGTTTGCACTCACGACAATGTCTGGGGCCACTCCTGATGAAATGCTTGATGGTGTCCTGGGGGATCTCCTGCTCCTGGATAGTTTGTAGTGCTGCTTGGCGGCTTCGGATGATCCAATACATAATGTATCGGAGGTTCTCAATTGGATTCAGGTCTGGGGAATGTGAGGGCCAATCAGTTGCATCAATGCCATCTTCATCTAAAAACTGCCTACACACTATAGCCACATGAGGCCGGGCATTATCATGCACCAAGAGGAACCCAGGGCCCACTGCACCAGCATAAGTCCTGACAATGGATGTGAAGATTATGTATTATTATCACGCAAGAATTTAGTCCAAAGAAAGAATTTTGTACAAGAAAATGTACTAGCCATCCCAACTGTTGTTTCTCCAGGTTGTGAGGAAATATAAAACTGTGTCATTGACAGTAGAAGAGAACACTAAAAGAGAGTCTGCAAACTCTACCAAAAAAAAAAAAAAATGGATTCATCACATATGTTACCTAATCTGTCCTTTGTTTTTGTAGGTAAATATGGGAACTTGGTTGCCCTCGCAGGTGTAACAGCTGTCCGCTGTTTTTGCCTTGATTGTTACATTCAAATTGGCAAAAAACTAATTACAAAAAGCCAATTCTCAAAACATAAAACAAAAAATATTTACATAATTCTGACCCACTACAGACTTCTTACAGTTGAGGTTTGTGCAGGCAACACACATATATGCCTCTTCTATCAATAATTCCCTATATGAAAAACTCCATGTCCTCTAGTCTTTCAAAAGTAAAAAGGACTGAAGCCTGAATTTCATCTTCTTCCATTGCACCTTCATAATCCATGTTGAAAAACAAGTCCCTCAATTCGATGGCCAACATGGCATCATCCTCACTCATCCTCAATGTTATTGGAAGTCAAGTGCCCAGAAAAGTGGTGTCGGTTCTCCTCCACCCACTCACAGGCCAACTGAATCCTCATCACAGCTGAGTCCTTTGTGCTATTGAGTCCTATTTGAAGTTAGCCCAACAGGAGTAGAAGGGCAGTTACAGATACCTCCAAGTAACTGTTGTTAATCTGGTACCTGGTGCTTGTTTCCTTAATTATATGACAAACCCCATTTTCACTGAGATTGCAAGATGGCGGGCTGCTCTAAGGTGACTGAAACCCTGCAACAGGCGGCGGTCCAGATGACAGCCAAAGCGGCGCCTGGGGAACAGTTGGGGGTTCAGTGCCTTGCTCAAGGGCACCTCAGTCGTGGTATTGAAGGTGGAAGAGAGCGCTGTACATTCACTCCCCCCACCTACAATCCCTGCCGGTACGAGACTCGAACCCGCAACCTTTGGGTTACGAGTCCGACTCTCTAACCATTAGGCCACGACTTCCCACCAATACAATTCCCACCAAGAACCTTACCACCAATCCAAACTGTACGCTAATTGTCAACAATCTTTGATAACAGTGGTCCTGAAAGGACATAAGTATAGTTATCAATATCATACCTTGCCAGAGAAAATGCAATCAGGTTACAGGCATGTCAGACTGATAAAAGATGGCAATTGAAAGACTTATTCATAATTTGTCTTCACATCTTTTCTCAAAAAATAACCATAAACTGATACAAACTCGCCGCACTCACGGGCATTGCAAGGGTCACATAGAGAGTGTACTGAAATACAAAATTTTTTTTTTTTAATTCTTTTATTTTAAAAATGAATAAATTAAATAAAGGCTTACATGCAAAGAAGTTAAAAAGCTATACCTCACAGCCTGTCAGTGAAGACATGGTCCAACGGCCAGGGGGAATTTCATTAACCAAGTTTTTATTTTAAAACAATAATACAACACATTTCAATAAATAACAATATCATCTTGTAACGAATCAGCTCATAGGGAAATATGAATAATTAATCATAACTAGTTATAATTAATTATAAATATTTAGATCCGCTGTAGATATTTACTTGACCTCTCAGGGTCAACTGTCTGTCAATTCTAAGAACGTTAATTTCCTGGTTAAGGGAAATAACTTTCTTACTGTACAATTCTACAAAGAGCTTGTAGCATAAATCTGCATGAGTAAGTGACTTCAGTTATGAGCAAACAATGAACAACATCAAGTGTGATACAAGTAAGACTTTATTAACTACATAAACACTTAAACTAGTCCAACATACTACATAAACACTTAAACTGGTCCAACATACTACATAAACACTTAAACTGGTCCAACATACACATAAACACTTAAACTGGTCTAACATACAAATACACACTTAAACTGGTCTAACATACACATAAACACACACACACACACGCATACAGTGGGTATAGGAAAGGGTTAAAGCTTAAGCAGTAAAGAGGAGAGAAATAAGGAATGAAGTTATGGAAACATTTGCATATTCAGCAGATCTACACCTGAGGGAAACGTCAGATTCTTAGTTCAAACACACCTTTGTAAAAAGGTGCAAATGATACCTAATGTATCAATTAATAAGACTAAGTTTGAATACTTGCACGTCTCATCTGTCTGAAAGAGAGGTTTGATGTAATCTGAAGGTTCCAGTTGATCTTTGCTGAAGTTGGTTGATGAAAAAGAACCAGTTTTGAGTCAGAGAATCTTGGTGAATGAAAAAGTCAAGGCCGAAGCCTGGCACGTACTTAGAGTTTCCTGGAGCGTTGCAGCTCACATTTTCATCTTCTCAGAAAACAACCGAACCACCGACTCTGGGCGGGTCACATGAAGTGCGGCCTTTAAAGTCTGCAAAGATTCACGCCTCTCAAGATGGGCTTGTCCAATGAGAATGTCCGGAATCCCAAGTGGGAGTTTTGAGATACTGGGGGGTTTTTATGACCCTTTGTGTGAGGGCATGGTAATTCGCAAATGGAACTCGAGTGGGGGCGTGATGAAAGATTACTAAATGTTCTTAGAACACTAATATGTTGCATAGGTATAAACATACAATATACACTCTCAATTAGATCATCCGAATACGAATTAATAGAGACCAAACACGTTATATGTAAGGTTACATGAATGAGTGGTTATATCATAAGCATGCATAAAATAGTCTAAAAATATCAAAGACAACATACACAATGACCTGAAGGATATGTGTGTTCATTCAAAGAAAGGTTTTCCTATGAATTAATTAGAAAAGAGTCAATTTCTACTGGGCACTGTGTCTCTTTCTAATTCAAAGGCAGTGATTTTCCCTACTCACATTCCATTAGGTCGTAAATGTATCTGGTGTCAGGGTTGCCATGGTAACCAGGGTCCTGGGCCTTGTTCACAGACAACTTGGCACCCAGTATGTTTATTGGGTGAGGGGTCTGTGAATGTTTGTTAATCTAATGAATAATTGATTTGTTAAATCAAATGAAAAATGGTGTGTCTGATTGCTCCAGACGCTACACTTAATATAAAGTGTAACACTTTCTTTACCAAAAAGTGCTGTTAGTCCTGTTACACATTTGTACTTACACTTACCATTCAGTGGGTTGTTACATATGTGTAGTTACACAAACATTAGAGCTGTAGATACTAAAAAAAAGAAAAAAGAAAAGGAAACAATGGGAATTGTTCCTAGTTCTATTCTACTGTAATCCTATACAAATATTGAAATAAGTGAAAATCTGTTATCTCCGACAGTCTGTGTTGTACGACACTATATAGGAGTTATTAACAAAACCTGCAAATCTTAATTTCTCCACATAATAAATGGGGGCCTCTTGTTAATGTATGCACTTTTAAGAGACTTTATAGGAGTATTAACACAACTTTTATAGATGGTGTCCTCATGTGATGAATTGAAGCCTCTTGTTAATGTATGCACGCTCCGCCTGCGCAAGAAGGCGATTGGAAGGTCGCGTCGTGGGACGGACTTATGCAGCAGAGCAAAAACCCAATGCAGGACAGATTTGCTTGCTCTCGCCTGTCGCCGTGTTAGAGCACCCCACGTGTGCTCACGCGCTTACCATCAAAGCGACCAGCCATCTAAAACTCAACACTTCAGTGAAACTTCGTTGAAATCTTCAAAGAACTTAACGCCAACTCAGACTGTAGCAGAACTGCTCAAGCCTCTGCTTCATCAAAAGACCAACCAACCCAACGAGGGGTTTTCCAAAGGACGTCATTCCGACGTCACCTCAGCGACCAATCAGCAACGGGGTTCCCTCAACAGACATACAGGAAGCCCGCTTCAGCCACGAATCACCTCAGCTGTTCAGCTGTCAACCAGCAGAACGCAAGTAAACGAACAACTCTTTAATCTGCTGAACTGGTGTTAAATTAACTTTAAGCAGTAAATTTAAGACAAATTCTCTGCTTTGTAAATTCTTAAGGTGAATTTAAATCACTCCTGAAAACGAGGTAGAACTATGAAACTCAGTCAACTCGCAGTCTAAGAAACTGTACATGTGTGTGTGTGTGTATTTTCGTGTTAGTTTAGTTTTATGTAATCTAGGATAGCCAATAAAATTCACGTTTCATTTATAAATAATCAATTGTCTGGTGTCATATAATTTCAAGGTTAAAACTTTGCCAAGATCAACGTTACCTCTCTCTTAAGAGCTGACAAATTATCATAATTGTGTTAACCCATGGCCAGGGAGAACATAAAATACATATTCAATTGGTAATATACACTTACATTAACTTCTCGCTGGCCGAGTAGCTGATAGAGTGTAAACCAT